ATTAACTCTTTAGCTGCAGACTTTTATAGATAGATTACCGTGACTCATCTGAATCGTACTTCATCCGATCACTCATTTCTACTTTTACAGTGAATTTCTGATGATGATTCAGGACCTAGACCATTTAGATTCTTCAATGTTTGGACCAAACATCATGACTTCTCAGCCTTCGTATCTCAAAAGTGGTCACTCCCTACTCATCTTACAGGAATGGCTGCCATATAGGAGAAATTCTTTAGGCTGAAACAGAGACTAAGGTGGTGGAATCGACGGGTATTTGGTAATGTGCTCCAGAGAGTTAGAGACGTTGAGGAGAGGGTTGACCAGGTAGAGATTGATTTTGAGGTCAATCCTACACCGGAGCACCGTAACTCACTTCACCATGCACAAGTAGATTTGAATTGGACCTTAGCTATTGAAGAGGGTTTTTGGAAGCAAAAGGTCGACTCTCGTTGGGTATGTGAGGGAGATCGTAATACCAGATATTTTCATTCGCTGGTATAGGGACGACATATCAAATCTCGTATCAGGACCATCACGACTCAGGCAAGGGAAGTTCTTACTACTCCAACGGATATTAAGAGCTCGACAATCTATTTTTTCCAGGAATTATTATCTGCTCCTTCACAGCCTCTAGAGTATATCCGTCCTGATGCCATACCTAGGATACCGACGGAGGCAGACAATATGGCGCTGAACCGTCTCCCTTTAATTGATGAGGTACGAGAGGCTATTTTCAGTAATGATGCTGATAGTGCTGCAGGCCCTGATAGATTTTCATCATTGTTCTACCAATATTGTTGGGATATTATAAAGGATGATGTATACAGTGCAATCATTGATTTCTTTGAGGGTGGTCATTTGCCGATAGGATTTGCTGCTGCTACGTCTATTATTTTTCTTCCGAAGAGGGTGAATGCTTGTAGATGGACGAATTACCGACCTATCAGCTTGTGTACGGTGTTCAATAAGATTATCACAAAGCTGTTGAACAACAGATTGAGTTCATTTCTGCTTTGTATTATTTCTCCCCAGCAGAGTGGATTTGTCTCCGGTCGACTTATTGGGGACAATG